GCTGATCTTATATAAAAATTTCAGTTATCTGTTTGGATTAGTTGTGCTCTTATGTCCATCGTCTTTTGTGTTAAATTTTTATATGTTCTAATGTTAATTATGTTTAAATGAAAATGTCCTGAAGATGGTCTTAAATAGACCGAAACGTGCGACGTCGACTTTATATTAACGTTAATACAGCATAATTGCATGTTAAAATTTTTGTTTGTTTTTTCTGTATTTTTCTTCATATATATATATATATATATATATATATATATATATATATATATATATACGCCGGAATAAACAAACAGTGAAATATTTGTTAAAATCGTACACGTTAAAAAGTGCTCAATTTCAAGTAGGAAAACCAAACTTGCAGAGCGATTTAATATCTTAAAAACGTAAGGACACTGACTGGAACACAATTGTGGTTTCGATAGCTGAGGTCTCGTTAGGTGGTATGTTCAGCAAATCAATCAACTAAACAACTTAAATGTCTTCATTTGAGACCAGAAGTGATGGGGGGGTTGTAGTGAAACAAAAAAAAAAAATTATTCCAACTTTATCAGGGGTTTGTATAGCCCCCCAAATTAACTTTCTCACGTGTCTACATTTGGCCATGATCTCAGACTTCCCGCCCAACATCTCAGTGCCAGCTTTGTATAACTAACTACTCCCCTTCACACAGCCTACAGGTGTTGCCATTCACTTTGCTAGCCCTTATATTTCGTAAAATACTCTATTATGCTTATCCCTATACGAACCCGGATGAAGTAGGAATATTTTTTATATATATATATATATATATATATATATATATATATATATATATATATATATATATATATATATATATATATATATATATATATGACAGTGTTATGTTTATACATTCTTTTATAAATACAAATATTTAAGTAAATGCTCTGTTTATAATAAACAGTACTAAACAAAATTTACCGGACGAAAAATTTTCATAGAAAATATTCGTCCTCCGACAAATCGAACCTGTATCCTATACGGAACCGTTATATAGCCTGACATGCCTTAACCGTTTCGGCCACAGAGGAGTCCGTATAGGATGCAGGTTCGATTCCTGTCGGAGGCCGAATATTTCTGTGAAAAATTCTCAGTCATCAAACCGGTAAATGTTGTTAATACTATTTATTATAAACAAAACATTACTTAAATATTTGTATCTGTAAAAATGTATAAACATAAAAATATCTTAAAATAATTTTCGGACTTTTTCCATTTCATAATATATATATATATATATATATATATATATATATATATCGAAAAACTTGGAGTGTGAATTAAGTTTAAGCGTCTAATGATTTTTTCTTTTTCTTTTAGATTTAACAACTTAAGTTTTTGGCAATTTCAACCATGGAAAGATTAACAAACAAACGACGTGTTAAAGTTATGGAAGCATATTACGAAAATGGACGTTCAAACAGAAATGCATAATCGACCAACCGAGAGTGAAATTGGAAAAAAAATCTTCGTAAATTCGAACAAACTGGGTCGTTGGCAGATGTGAAAACATCATTGAGTGCTCGTTTACGCCGTTCAGCTGAAAACTTTGCTGCAGTGCACGAGAATGAGGCTGAAAATCCAGACACCTCTATTCGTCATCGCGCGTAGGAATTGAATCTCTCCACAACAACCTTACATCGAATTTTAACAAAAGATTTGTCTCTGCACGCTTACAAAATTCAATTGACACGAGAACTGAAACCTGCTGCCTATTTGGAGTGCTGTACATTCGTCAGTTGGGTCCACGAGCAAAGACAAGCTGATGAAGATTTTTCGCAAAAAATCCTCTTTAGTGATGAAGCCCATTTTCATCTAGGTGGATTCGTTAAAAAGCGGAATTGTCACATTTGGGCTGATGAAAATCCAAGGAAGATTGTTGAAAAGCCACTGCATCCACAAAACGTCACTGTTTGGTGTGCAGTTTTTGCAAGCGGAATCATTGGGCTAATATTTATAAATTTGAACGTCCATTTTCTTAATAGGTTTCTATAACTTTAACGCGTTGTCTGATTGTTAATCTTTCCATGGTTGAAATTGACAAATATTTAATTTGTTAACTCTAAAAGAAAAAGAAAAAAATATCATTAGACGCTTGAACTTAATTCACATTTAAAATCGGTCCAAGTTATATATACACTAGTTAACTAGATAGCTATATACGTATAAACCCGATATCGGAATATCACGGTAGGTACCTTCTGTAGCACAGGGGAATGAGAAACAGAATATACTGAATTTGTCATGAAATATTATGCACAGAGCCTCAGGCCGTGGATGTTAGCCCGTCTCACACTTGTCTGTCGGTATTTGTAGTATGACAGTGACAAGACTTTTAAGAAGCAACCTTCTCAAGGGCGAAGTGAGTACAGGCAGCGTAAACTTTGCTCTCTGAAACCGTTTATGACATCGATAACCGTTCCGTCACATCCCTTATCCGTCTAAGCCATTTTCAGACGTCTGAATAGAATGATTAACAGAAGCGACAGATCGATAGTAATCGATTAAATCAGATCGATCTGTGTTCACTCTTTCTGGTCGGCCTGATTTCACGTCTCCATCTCTAGCCGTTTATTGTATCATTTCAGTCTGGAAGATTTGTTTTTTTGTTTGGAACGATAGTAAATTCGCTTTCGATGTCGGAGCCCATAAGCGAACCTACAGAATGCTTAATGCACTCGCAAAAGAATGTATCTTTCCTGTGAGAAAGTCTATCGTCTTGAGAAGAGAAAACAGTACATTCTTATACTTGTAAAATATAGGCATAAATGTAATAAAGTTACCAACCATTTTGAGCGCTGGTAATTTGGATAAATATATAGAGATTTATTTCTTCCTTTCTATCTTTTTACCTATGTCTTCTTTTTCTTTCTTTAACCACCTTCTTCATTTTCTTTCTTATACCTATCTTTTCTTTCTTTCTTTCTTTCTTTCTCCGTCCATTATCTATCTCAGTGTGTCCATTTTCCTTCCTTCCTTCCTTCCTTCCTTCCTTCCTTCCTTCCTTCCTTCCTTCCTTCTTTCTTTCTTTCTTTCTTTCTTTCTCCGTCCATTATCTATCTTAGTGTGTCCATTTTCTTTCTTTCTTTCTTTCTTTCTTTCTTTCTTTCTTTCTTTTATACTCTTTCGTCTACTTCTTATTTATTTAACAATTTCTTTTTCTTTCTTTTACCTATTCCTTCTTCCCCTTTCTTTCTTTCTTTCTTTCTTTCTTTCTTTCTTTCTTTCTTTCTTTCTTTCTTTCTCCGTCCATTATCTATCTTAGTGTGTCCATTTTCTTTCTTTCTTTTTCTTTCTTTCTTTCTTTCTTTCTTTCTTTTCCATTACTATCTTTCGTCTACTTCTTATTTATTTAACAATTTCTTTTTTCTTTCTTTTACCTTTCCTTTCTTCCCTTTTCTTTCTTTCTTTCTTTTTTTTTCTTTCTTTTCTTTCTTTCTTTCTTTCTTTCAGTTACCTGTTTCTTCTTTTACTTCCATTCTATCTTTTTCTTTAACCCACGTCTTTTCTTTTTCCTTTCTTCCTTTCTTTCTGTTTACTTCTTTTTCTTTCTTTTTTCTTTTGTCTATTGATTCTTTCTTTAACATAATTCTTCATTATCTCTTTTTTTAAAACTTTTTCTTATTTTACCTATTTCTTCTTTTCTTTTTTTTTTTCTTTTTTTCTTTCTTTCTATCTTTCTTTTTTTCTTTCTTTCTTTCTTTATTTATTTATTTCTTTCTTTCTTTACCTATTTCTTCTTTTCTTCTTTCTTTCATTCATTCATTTTTCTTTCTTTCTTTTACCTATTTCTCCGTTTCTTCTTTCTTTCTTTCTTTTATCTATTTCTTCTTTTCTTTTTTCATTCTTTCTTTCTTTCTTTCTTTCTTTATTTTACCTATTTCTTCTTTTCTTCTTTCTTTCTTTCTTTCTTTCTTTCGTTACCTATTTCTTCTTTTCTTCTTTCTTTCATTCATTCATATTCTTTCTTTCTTTTACCTATTTCTTCGTTTCTTTTTTCTTTCATTCATTCATTCATTCATTCATTCATTCTTTCTTTCTTTCTTTTACCCATTTCTTCGTTTCTTCTTTCTTTCTTTCTTTCTTTTATCTATTTCTTCTTTTCTTCTTTTTTTCATTCCTTCTTTCTTTCTTTCTTTTATCTATTTCTTCTTTTCTTCTTTCATTCTTTCTTTTACTTATTTCTTCTTTTCTTCTTTCTTTCATTCTTTCTTTCTTTCTTTTTTTTACCTATTTCTTCTTTTCTTCTTTTTTTCATTCATTCCTTCTTTTTTTCTTTTACCTTTTTCTTCTTTTTCTTCCTGATTTACTTTCGTCTATTTCAGTCATGGTCAAACTGTGGCCCATTTGGCTTACTGAATTGCACGCCTCATTTCATGAGGAAATTAACTTTGCCTAAATCTTCGTTTGTTTCGTTTCTTTTTTCACTTGTTCGCTCACCCATAATCGCATACGTAAACAATGATTATGTGCAATGTTTCTTGAATTTCTTAAACTTTCGTAGAAAATAACGTTTTCATCATATTAAGCAATTAACTATTTTCACTAAGGAAGATCCGGCGTGTAAATATCTTACTTTTTCAATGGAGAAAAAAAAAAAATTTTATTTACTTGTTTTCCCCAAGTGGATAAATACGAAATTAATCACACGAAGCAACGTATGTTAATTACATTGTCGTATGTGTCAATATTAAACCAAGACTCCACTTTTTTAATTATAAAATATATTTTCTCAACCCCCCCCCAAAAAAAAAACCAAAAAAAAACCCAAAAAAGAAACAAAAAAAAAACTTTTCCCCATTTTTAAAGCAGATGCTTATGTTCTGTAGGAAAATGGCCGAGTATCTTCAACGAAAAATTACTTTGAATCTTTCTTTCTTTTATCGATGTCTTCTTTTTCATTCGTTCTTTATTACCTATTACTTCTTTTCCTTTATTTGTTTGTTTGTTTCTTTCTCTCTTTCTTTCTTTTACCTATGTCTTCTTTTTCTTTCTTTCTTTCTTTCTTTCTTTCTTTCTTTCTTTCTTTTTTTCTATTTCTTCCTTTTCTATCTTTCTGTTACCTATTTCTCCTCTTTCTTTCTTTCTTTCTTTTTCTTTAACTTACGTCTTTTCCTTGCTTCCTCTCTTTTTGCTAACTACTTCTCCTTTTTCTGTTTTTTCTTTCGTCTATTGAATCTTTCTTTAACCTAATTCTTCTTTTTCTATTTTCTAAATTATTTCTTTCTTTCTTTTATCTATTTCTTATTTTCTTTTCGTTCTTCATTCCTTCCTTTCTCGCGTTCGTTCTTTCCTTCACCCAATTCTTCTTGTCTTTCTTTCTTTCTTTTTTTCTTTGTTTCTTTCTTTTTTTTCTGTTAAGTATTTTTTCTTTTTCTTTCTTTTTTCTTTCGTCTTTATCTTCATTCTTTATACTACTTTTTCATTTTCTTTCTTTTATGTATCTCTTTCTTTCTCTCACCTATTCATCTTTTTCTTTCTTTCTTTCTTTTCTTTTCTTTCTTTCTTTCTTTCTTTCTTTCTTTTAGCTATTTCTTTTTTTTTCATTTTTTCTTTCTGTTTCTTCTTGCTTTCTTTCTTTCTTTCTTCCTTTCTGTTACGTATTTCTTCTTTTTCTTTCTTTTTTTTCTGTTACTTATTTCTTCTTCTTTTTCTTTGTTTCTTTCTTTCTTTTATTTGTGTTACCTAGTTCTTCTTTTCCTTCCTTTCTTTTTCTTCAACCTACGTCTTCATTTTTCTTCCTATTTGTTTTTCATCTACTTATTCTTTCTTTAACCCATTTCTTCATTTTCTTTCTTTCTTTTACCTTTTTTCTCTCCCTTTATTTTTATCTTTTAATTCCCGCTTTCTTCATTTTCATCGTTTTTTTTTTGCAAAATCCATACCCCCCCAACACTTTTAGCTTTTTTTCCAATTCTTTTTTTACTATTTAAATTTCCACTCTATTCATTCATTCTTGCTTTTTTTCTTTCTTTTTTCTTTCTTTCTGTCTTTTAATTTTCGGAGTCACTGAAGAAACACGCTCTCTACTGAAGATTTGATCACTTAATCTATATTTATATTAATCTCCCATACTTTTAGTCATTGATTAGTGCAAATCGATATATCGGTAGAAATTGAATTTCTAAGTGGATTTGTATTGTAAAGATTAGCTTCGTTCCAGGTTGCCCCACTTATCGGCGGTTCATCTCACCACCCCCGACCCCTTTTTCTATCAGCTTCTCACTATCTATCTATCTATCTATCTATCTATCTATCTATCTATCTATCTATCTGAATCTATTCCTATTTATCATATTCTCATCATCTATCTATCTATCTATCTATCTATCTATCTATCTATCTATCTATCTATCTATGTTTTTAAATAGACGGGTGGGGAAGATTATTATATATACATACATACAGAGTGCAGCAGAATTACCTCGCACAGATACTTGCCAGGAATACATCCCACATAAGGGTAAGACATTTGCTAGATGAAGACAAATTTGACACACATATCTTTCCATTATGTCATCTGTATTTTGTCTTTTTTTTTTTTGTAGAAAAATCTCCAACCACACCTTTTATTTCATATACAGGAAATTTCCTAACGTCATTTAATTAAGGCCGGGAGAATTCTAGAACAAAGGGAATCATCTAAATGTTATGTCATTTTTCTTTTGCTTTCATTTACCTATTTATTTCTTTCACTTATTTCTTTTCCTTTCTTTTACGCATTTCTTTCTTTCTTTCTTTTACCTATGTTTTATTCCTTTATTTTTTCTTTGGCCTATTTATTTATTAACTTTCTTCCTTTTATCTATTTCTTCTTTCTTTATAGATTTTACCTATTTCTTCTTTCTTTTTTTTCTTTCTTTCTTTTACCTATTTCTTCTTTTTCTTTATTCCTTTTACGTATTTCTTTTATTCCGTGCTTTCTGTTTTTCTTTTACGTATTTATTATTTCATTCTTTCTTTTATCGATTCCGTTCTTTCTTTCTTTCTTTCTTTTTTCTTTCTTTTACCTTTTCTTTTTTCTTTCTTTCTTTCTTTCTTTCTTTCTTTTACGTATGTTTTATTCCTTTATTTTTTGCTTTGCCTATTTATTCATTGTCTTTCTTTCTTTTACCTATTTCTTCTTTCTTTCTTTTTGTCTTTCTTTCATTCTTTCTTTCTTTCTTTCTTTCTTTCTTTCTTTCTTTCTTTCTTTCTTTTGCCTATACTTTCTTTTCCTTTCTTTCTTTCTTTATTTTTTTATCTTTATCTTTATTTTTTTTACCGATTTCTTTATTCTTTTCTTTTTTTTACGTATTTAATCTTTATTCTTTCTTTCTTTCTTTTAACGACTTCATTCATTCATTCTTTCTTCCTTTTACCTATTTCTTTTTTCTTTCTTTCTTTTACGTATTTAATCTTTATTTATTCTTTTTTTTTCTTTTAACGACTTCATTCATTCTTTCTTTCTTTCTTTTATCTATTTCTTTTTTCTTTCTTTCTTTTACGTATTGAATCTTTATTCTTTCTTTCTTTCTTTTTTTCTTTCTTTTGGCTTCATTCATTCATTCTTTTTCTTTCTTTCTTTTATCTATTTTTTTTCTTTCTTTTCTTTTTACGTTCATTTTTCTTTCTTTTTTTTTTTTACCTTCATTCATTCATTCTTTCTTTTTATCTATTTCTTTTTTCTTTTTTTTCTTTTTACGTCTTTTTATTCATTTTTTTCTTTCTTTCTTTTAACTTCATTCATTCTTCATTCTTTCTTTTTTCTTTCTTTCTTTTTTCTACTTTTTTTTCTTTCTTTTTCTTTTTTTTTTTTAACGACTTCATTCATTCATTCTTTTCTTTTTTCTTTTATCTCTTTTTTTTTTCTTTTTACGTATTGAATCTTTATTCTTTTTTCTTTTAACTTCATTCATTCATTCTTTCTTTCTTTTTTTATCTATTTCTTTTTTCTTTCTTTCTTTTACGTATTTAATCTTTATTCATTCTTTTCTTTCTTTTTTTTTAACGACTTCATCATTTCATTCATTCTTTCTTTCTTTTATCTATTTCTTTTTTCTTTCTTTCTTTTACGTATTGAATCTTTATTCTTTCTTTCTTTTCTTTCTTTCTTTTTTTCATTCATTCTTTCTTTCTTTCTTTTTATATTTTTTTTTTTCTTTTCTTCTTTTGCGTATTTAATCTTTATTCAACGACTTTTTCATTCTTTCTTTCTTTCTTTTATCTATTTCTTTTTTCTTTCTTTCTTTTACGTATTTAATCTTTATTCTTTCTTTCTTTCTTTCTTTTAACTTCATTCATTCATTCTTTCTTTCTTTCTTTTATCTATTTCTTTTTTCTTTCTTTCTTTTACGTATTTAATCTTTATTCTTTCTTTCTTTCTTTCTTTCTTTCTTTTAACGACTTCATTCATTCATTCTTTCTTTCTTTCTTTTATCTATTTCTTTTTTCTTTCTTTCTTTTACGTATTGAATCTTTATTCTTTCTTTCTTTCTTTTAACTTCATTCATTCATTCTTTCTTTCTTTTATCTATTTCTTTTTTCTTTCTTTCTTTTACGTATTTAATCTTTATTCTTTCTTTCTTTCTTTTAACGACTTCATTCATTCATTCTTTCTTTCTTTCTTTTATCTATTTCTTTTTTCTTTCTTTCTTTTAATCTTTATTCTTTCTTTACTTTCTTTTTAACTTCATTTCATTCATTCTTTCTTTCTTTTTTATCTATTTCTTTTTCTTTCTTTCTTTTTACGTATTGAATCTTTCATTCTTTCTTTCTTTCTTTTTTTCATTCATTCATTCATTCATTTTTTTTTTTCTTTTCTTTTTTTTCTTTTTTTTACGTATTTAATCTTTATTCTTTCTTTTCTTTCTTTTTTTTAACGACTTCATTCATTCATTCTTTCTTTCTTTTTATCTTTTCTTTTTTCTTTTTTTTCTTTTACGTATTTAATCTTTATTTTTTTTCTTTTCTTTTAACGACTTCATTCATTCATTCTTTCTTTCTTTCTTTTTCTATTTTTTTTCTTTCTTTCTTTTTATTGAATCTTTATTCTTTCTTTCTTTCTTTTAACTTTTCATTCTTTCTTTCTTTCTTTCTTTTATTTTTTTTTTTCTTTCTTTTTTTACGTATTTAATCTTTATTCTTTTTCTTTCTTTTTTAACGACTTCATTCATTCATTCATTTTCTTTTTATCTATTTCTTTTTTTTTTCTTTTTTACGTATTTAATCTTTATTCTTTCTTTCTTTCTTTCTTTTAACGACTTCATTCATTCATTCTTTCTTTCTTTTATCTGTTTCTTCTTTTCCGTTCGTTATTTTTTTACCTATTTCTTCTTTTCCTTTATTTCTTTGTTTATTTCTTTTAGATATTTCGTTTTTTTCTTTCTTTCTTTTTTCCTTTCTTTCTTTATTTCTTTCTTTTACCTATTTATTATTTTCTTTCTCTGTTTCTTTTTTCTTTCTTTCGTTTTTCTTTATTTCTTTCTTTCTTTCTTTTACCTATTTCTTTTTTGCCTATTTTTCTTTTCCTCTATTTCTTTTACCTATTTCTGCTTTATCTTTCTTTCTTTTTCTTTCTTTCTTTCTTTCTTTTACCTAAATCTTTTTTTCGTTTTTCTTTCTTTTACTTACCTCTTTCTTTCTTTCTTTCTTTCTTTCTTTCTTTCTACAGTTCATCTCTCCACTTCAAAGGCGCGAGTTTTCTGTATTGTAAATTATTAAATCTTACCTTTCGCCTTGCAAACGAAATACTCAAATGCTTATCTCCCCACCCCCAACCAAATTATAAGGAAAATCATTTGACACTAGACAGTTATTTGCACTCCGGTGCATAACTCCAGGAAGATCAGTATTTAGTACAATAAATAAATTAATTAATATTGAATAATATGAAACATTAATGCTTGTGTCTGCAGTACTATTACTGGTAATGCAAATCAACCAATTCATCACTGCCTTGTATGTGTTAATTTCATAAACTCTTTCGTTCACTTCCAACTATTGCACTTAGAAGAGGCATGGATCCATATTTCCAGTCTATGAAAAATAAAACTCTGCATTTCTCATTGTTATAAAGATTGATTAAGGAATCGGAGAGCCGGGTTCGAATTCCAGTCATATCTATGACATTCACTTACGTGCTAATAACCTTGGGAAAGGTATGAATCCTCTTATCCTCCCCCAAGACAGACCAAGCCTGGTCTACCGCAGAAAAACAATGGCAAACTACTGCGGGAAAAAATCTGCCTCGTCAGTCATGTATCGAAAGATACATGATCGCCTAAGCGTGTATCACGAATGGCACATAACTGACTGAAGGAAACGCTGGAATAAAAAGGAATACCACTTTTAAATTGCAACAAACGTAGGTATATGCACACACACACACACACACACACACACACACACACACACACACACACACATATATATATATATATATATATATATATATATATATATATATATATATATACTTACCGTCGTTTTCGACGTATGAGGATCTGACAGCTTATTGATTCAGTTATGAAAGTTTGTGTGATAATGTTAAGTGGCATTTAAGACCTGCTAGTGGTTTACAAAGGAGGCCACATATGGAGCAAGTGTGAGGATTGTGAGATGAGATCACTGTTAGATTGGCTGACCTTTTAGATGTTGCTCTCGCTTCTTGAAGATGATTCAGACAAGCAGATTGAAAATTGCCGAGTCCACTAAAACACGTTGATCTCATTCTACCCGCTCCAAGGCTAAGCGCTCAAGGGTGTTATGTGATATATTGACAGCTGACAAGTTGCTTTTCAGCTTGTCTTTGTATCCTAGCCATGGGCAGCCTACATTCCTGTAGCCCTAATCTAACTGGCTCTGTATATATATATATATATATATATATATATATATATATATATATATATATATATAATAAAGAACAGATAAGAAACGTTTATCAGTTTAATATGGTCCACTTTCATAAAAAGCTTCATTACTGTTATGGTTCGGTTCCTTGTACCACGGTGATAGTCCAAGGTGGAACCAATAAAGAAGAACTCGAACACGGATATGGAATAACACAGATATATTACAAACAGGAATATATACAGAGAGGTAGAAAGTGTTAGTACGAACAATCAGGTTTAGTAGTAATAGTCTGAACGCGACTCTGTTTCGGACTGCCTCTGACTCGCTCACTCTGAATGACTGACTGACTGACTGACAGACTTCTGACGGACCTCAGACTGAACGGTATTTAGTCACCCCACCCACGAGGGCATCATATGGCGCAAGGCCGGTTTAACGTGGGATCTCCGAGCCCGTGGGCTCGGCAAAAAATATGCCCTTTGATCCCGTATAAACGGGTTCAGGGTCGGTTTACCTCCCCGAAAGAGACTCCGTCCTTCGGCGTAGCCTCGTTCGGGTTCCTCCCCGCCCGAAGGCGGGGAGTTCAACCGATCAGCCGGTCAGTCGGTCGCCCGACTTCAGGCTGAACTCCCTGCTTCCTCTTGAGGCGCAGTATTTATTCCGTATGGAATAGTCCATTATGTTATTATGGGTAAGGTCCCATAACAATTACCGATTCTTGTTTCGATATGGCGGAAGAATACATTACGCGGCCAAAGATTGCATTACGTGGCCAAATAGTGCACGGCGGAAGAATACGTCGTCAAACGGCGCTTGGGAGAGGAAGGCGGCGTCTGCCATTTTTTGGTTGTACGCCATATTTGTTTGTTGTGCCTTTATTCTCTTTCGTTTGTGTTGTTTGTAGAAATTTATAGTCCGTCATTATGGCTTCCAAGACTCATGTAACCGCTTCTGATATATGTGCTTCGAAGAAAATGAAAGCCATGGAAGTGAATTTAGACATTGTTAAACGCTCTAATTTACCGAGAGACAACGACATCACTGTTAAGAGTTATACAAGATGGTATAACAACTTCATTATAAGTATTATTTTTATTTCATTATATGTATTATATTTATAATCTTCATGTGTTATATCATAGAATATTTCCTTATCGCCTATGTTATTACATTGGTATTGCGTTAGCATAGGTGAGTGACATAAGTGCTTATTAGCAGAAAATCAAAGGTATCTTCCGACTTACATAGGAAATAGCGTTACGACTCATCGTAGGAACAGAACTCTGTCGTAAGTCGAGGACTCCTGAGACAAAAGACAAAAGGAAAACTTATCTTAGCCGACGCGTCTCATCCTCTGAAGGGTTTATCAGATTTATCGGGGATTTATCGTCGGCTAACATAACTTCCCCTTTTGTCTTTATTTATACTCTTCTTTTACAGATGTAGTCTATCTGAAATTTTTACACACACACACATATATATATTGTCTGAATCATCTTCAAGAAGCGAGAGCAAGAACTAAAAGGTCAGTCGATCTAACAGTGATCTCATCTCACAATCCTCACTCATGCTCGATATGTGGCCTCCTAGCGGGTCTTAAATGCCACTTAAGATTATCGCACAAAATTTCATAACTGAATCAATTAATACGACGGGAGAGTCCATTATTATTATTATTATTATTATTATTATTATTATTATTATTATTATTATTATATAGACTTGGATGGCAGCTGGTCTAGGAGAAGGACAACTCTGAATTCAAAACCTGCGGAGGGTCGTTTGGGAACCTTGTGGCATTCGGTGCACCAGATCTCTGTAATCGGCCCTTCAAAAAGTGTTGATGGTCCTGCACGAGGCCTTCACCACTATAATTAAAATCTCATGTGCCGGTGTCGGGCTGTCGGTTTCCTGGAAACTGATCTGCTTGACCCTCATACGTCGAATCTCGACAGGGAGTCGATTATATATATATATATATATATATATATATATATATATATATATATATATACGTCGAAACCGACGGGAGAGTCCATTATTATTATATATATTAGGCAATTTAAATTTCATAATCGACTATAATTTTTTTCAAATAAGTTGTAAATAGAATAGTCTTACTTATGAAGAGTTATTTTCTTATATTCAAATGTATTTGTAAAAAGAGCAAGTTTGATTTATTTTCATATAATTAAATTAAAATAAATAATTCATCATAGTAAAGTAAATAATAATAAAAAAAAAATTAATAACAATAAAATAAATAAATAATAAACAAAATAGTAATAATAAAAGATAAATAATAAAATAAAAATAAATAGTAATAATAATAAAATAAATAAATCATAATAATAAAATAAATAAATTAATAAAAATAAAATGGTTAATAAAATAAATAAATAAAAATAAAACAATTAATAAATGTATAAAAATAAAATAATGATACAAAAATAATCCTAGAAATAGGAATTTAAAATTTTCCTGGTACCCCATCGTCAGCTGCAGATACCTCCAGCCGAAAAGATTTCGAACGATCTTCCATATCTTATTTGCGTTAACGCCTGAAGACATAGGCGTCTGGGATTTAGTCTTAGTGACATCAGAATTGAATTTTACTTTCATTATGCGTCGTATGTTCTTCCATACTGAATGCAACGGAGAATGCTTTTCAGAAAAGGAAATTGGATAGAATTCTCAGGTTGTTTAAATACTGTCTTTGAATCGGTGAATCGGATTCCAGTGGATATTTTCACTTCATCCAACTCCCACCTATAATTCCAAGAAATCGCATCGGCACTGCGATGGTCCAAATCCGGTCAAAGCTATCGACCTGCCGTCTAAACAGTGTCAGGGCGGTCGCAAGGGTATCTCGACCGGTGAATGGGAAGTCGCTATCCGATCCACCTATGATAAGCGGCCGTCGTCCTGTCCCCAGCATGGGCATAAGAGTTGCGCCTCAGAAGTCAACTGTTTTACCAGTGTGTAGAGGAACTTCCGAGAGAAGAGACGGGGTAACCTCAACAGCCTCGACACAAAAGGAACTGGACAGGTATTACATTATTCTGTGTTGAATGTCAATCACGAACCATAACAGAAATAAGGGTAGTTGTGATCATAGCGGAGCTTCATTCCCTTCCTTTGATAACTCGGACGAGGCTCCGCCGAATTGCAAAGTCTCGTTCGGGAAGGTTGACTCCCCCTGAACCCGTTTATGCGCTAACTCAATAAATGGTTATTTTCTAAGCTTAGTTTACATCTGAAACAAGGCCGAAAGTATGGAAGCACGCTAACTATTCAGTCATAACTGATCTAGTGTTGTAGAGCAGTTTTCACAGTGGAGGCTTGTATTTCACTAAGTCGGTCCTAAAAGGGTCCGACGTACAAAACGTTAGGAACTTGAAATAATAGTTAATGACGCAGCAGTCTAGTTGTGATGGTTGATACTTTAATGTCCGACATCGACTGACTCACCAACTCCACTGAGCCCCCTGGCGACTGCTACTACTACTACCTATTATATCTGGGAGAGTCTGTTAACAATAGAATAGGTATGTTCCGGTATAACATCTAGCGAGACAAGCTTGCTAGCCATTACAGCACATGGAAGTGAATGAATGATGATTTAAGAAATTGTGCTACTGGACATCCGTATATTAGTCAATTTTTTTCCTGCTAAATGATTTTGGAAAAGAACAAAACTTTATTATTTAAAAAAAGTCGCTAACGTTTTTTTTTTTTTTTTTTTTTACTTTTGAATAAAAAATATACTTAATTAAAAATATTTGTTGAAAAAAATTACGGGAAAATTTAATTGGCTTATCAAAATAGTTCGTTCGCGTTTTCCAACGTTTTCTTAATTAATACGC